GGTCTTAAAGGGTTAAACGTCTCTATCGCTCTGTAAAGACTTCAATATTCAATATTAGTCACACAGCATTTTGAGTGTCAGTGTGCCTCGCATGTTTTCATATTGATGAGTACAGCTGCAGTGTGTCTGTCACATCTCTGTACCTTTGCGGTGTGTGAGAGCAGCTTTGGCAGGTCGGTGAGATTTCGGGCCTTTTCGAGCGTTTCCTTCATGGACGTTTGGCTCTGCTGGAGCTGCTTCATCTTCACCATCCTCCCATGAATCTGCTCACATTCCAGCTCATACACTTTCTACACACACGCACACACACACACACAGCATGTTTTAATCATTTTTTAGGAGCTCCATTTTCTTGTATTTTACCAGAAACGTTGGCGTGCGAGGCTGAGTGAGCACAGACGCTTGATACTGAGAGCAGCAGCAGATAAGACTCAAGGCTACGCTGAGGAGTGAAACTCACTGAGCTCATAAATTCGGTTCCTATTTTGAGAAAAGATTTGCGTCACTTTCTAACAAATGAGAAATGTGCGCTTGAAGGTGAGGCAGCGGATCAACTCTGGCTGCAGAAAACAAAGACTTACAGACGGGGACACTGCAGAGAGAAACAGGAAATGACATCAGCCTGCTAGATAGTCAACAATATTTAAAACAGCTGATGGATGTTACCTGTATGTCTTTAAGGAGCGACATCATTTTCGCTTTCAGAAGTTTGGCAAACGCGACGAATCCCGCCTGCAGCTCGGTCCTCAGACGAGACTCTGTGTGCTCGATGCTCTGCAGCCTGAAACAGCAGAAGCACGAGGGGGGGTTATTTTCCAGAAAGTCCTCAGACGGGACAGCGAGCACCTGAGGAAGGTTCAAGTTATTAATACTAAGTAGGAATGAGGCGGCGACCTTTACCGCGTGGAGACTCAGAACAGTCGAGCTCAGCAAAGAGACGTTTGGTAACAATTTGATGAAATTCAGTGAATGTAACAAATTCTCTGAGTGTTTCCAAACATGAAGATAACGAGTGAAAGTCTGTGAGGATTCACAGCAGTGGGAGTGTTTCACGTTAACGAGCGGTAACAAACCCAACGCAGTCTCGTGATGATCAGGAGGCCCCGCAGCCTGTGGCGAGTGATACTTGGATCCTTTCCTGTTTGAGACGTCACAGGTCAGGATGTTTATCAAGCCACGCTGTACTTTCCAAGGGCAGCCACACATTATTCCCATGCATCCATGCTCTTCTGCTTATCGTTGTCAGGGTCACGGGGGGGGGGGTGGAGCCTACCCCGCAGAGTACACCCTGGACAGGTCGCCGGTCTGTCGCACGGCCAACACGTAGAGACTGACAACCATTCACACTCACACACAGTGTTCACGTTTACGAGTATTTCCAGTGCCACTGTGTAAATTGAAACAAATGATTTGACCAACACAGAATTTAACTGAACGCACAGAGACGTGTTTTTGTGTTGGCCGGTCTGCACACAGTTAAAGACGCCCGCTCTGCTGCTCCTCTGTACTTTTACTCATAATCTGCTAAACGAAAACACATTTAAGAAGAGTAAAAACACTCGAGCTGCTGATATACAGTTTGGTTCTGTGGAGTAACGACTCAATAAGAAGGATTTACTCTGCTGATGAGTCATCGTCTTTTCAGGAAGTAAACAGTGAAATCATCAGCCATACCTGCTCTCCATGTCCTGCAGACTCCGCCTCACCGTGTCCTCCTGCCTCTTCGTGGAATGAACGTACATGTCCAGCTGCTTCTTCAGGCTGACCACCACCTCGCCGACAAAGCGGTACCTGGAAACAAAAGCCGCTCACGGCTCAGTGCGCCAGCTCACGTCTGCACTACAACCACTCTTTCTGAGCTTCCTGC